CGACAAAATTGCTCAGTCTATGTGTGGGCGATATAGGTCCAGCTACTACAGGTCTCATCTTTAAGTCCGCTGGTGGTTCCAGTTTGATATAATCATTGTTTTGGTCGGTGACAGCATCTGTTATGGTTTTTGATTTGTGCATTTTCGGTAATCCATAGAAATTTGATGTTTTCATTAGGAAATTTGTGATGTACTCTTTCTCGTTCTCAGTAATGAAGTTCCCAAAGTTTTTAATAAGTCTCTTAATCTTTCGTAAAATGGTTTCGTCCTCGTTTTGCGATAATTGTATGTAATTCTCTGTGTCGGAAAGGAGGTATAGCATTTTGTCTCTATAATAAGATTTGTCCATTACCACCGTTGCTCCCCCTTTATCTGCTTGTTTGATTATGATTGTGCTGTCGTTTTTAAGGTCTTGAAGAGCTTTCTGTTCTGCTGTAGATATGTTACATTTCCTAGTTTTCTTCTGGGATTGTTGTTCAAGTTTTGACAAGTCGTTAAGAAATAACGTGAGACGTTCGTCCTCTGATCTTGGCGGAACAAAATTAGATTTGTTTTTAGCAAGTGAATTGTCTATGTTCTGCTCTTTATCGTTAAAATATTCTGCTAGGCGTAATTTTCGACTGAATTCGTGAATATCCGCTTTCAGTTCTGGATTATCATTCATGTCATCCTGGACATACAAAATCAAACATTCTCTACACACTGGCAAGACGGATCTGTGCAATTGTAACAAATCAAGATTTAAAGAAGAAGCGTCTTGATGAACTAGAATATTTCCTACAAAAGCAGAACTATCCGAAATTGCTTATAAAAAACGGAATACAGAAGGCTTCATCAAAGAACATTGAGGAATTGAGGGCACCAAAACATAAAACTGATGACAATGTCTTGCCTTTAGTAATAACTCATAATCCCAACAATCCTCAAGTAATTGGAAAAATAAGGGAGAACTTTAAATTTCTAAACAATTACGAGAAAATGAAACGAGTATTAGACAGAACAAAACTCATTGTAAGCAAACGCCAACCGAAAAACTTGAAGCGATACTTGACAAAAGCACAATTCAATTCAGAGGACAGAGAACACTGTGTAACAAAATGCGAGAAAAAGCGATGTGGAACATGCGAGGTGTTAATCACAGGAAAGTCCATTACATTAAAGAGCGGAAAAACCTGGAAAGTCAATTCGACGATGAACTGCAAAGCGAGATATGTCATTTACGTGATCATTTGCTCAAAATGCGACAGCTTCTACGTCGGCCAGACAGAAAACTTACGAAAAAGAGTGACATTGCACAAGGAACAAATTCGACACGAAGAGTATAGACATCTAAAAGTAAGCGAACACTTAAATATGTGTAACAACGGAATTTTCAAAATAATGCCCATATATCAATGCATTAACACGGACAGACTTTTAGGGAGATGAAAGAAAAAGAACTTATCAATATACTGAATCCGGATCTGAACGCTAATTAAAAAACCATTAAGTTTATGCTTACATTTAGATCAATAGAATGTTTTTAACGGGTGACTTCACACCATGTAAATATATGCATTCCTAACATAGTTATTATAATATGATATCATAGAACGTAGATAATAGATAAACTAAATTCCACTCATTGTAAATATGCACCTGAGGAGCTAACATTAAAGCGAAAACGTTTGTGCAAAATTTGAGTGGCTTTTATTTTATTTTACGTTATAAATGTCTCTTTTGATTGCACATTGAAACCTTTTCTGTATATATATATATATATATATATATATATATATATATATATATATATATATATATATATATATATATATATATATATATATATATATATATAGTATATATATATATATATATATATATATATATATATATATATATATATATATATATATATATATATATATATATATATATATTTATATACAGGGTGTATAAAAAAAAACTGAACAGATTTGAAATTGCTCTCAATTTCGCAAAACACCTATTTGTGTCCGGTTTTTTATATATATAGCTTCTTTGGGTACTTATAATGTAGATTAATGAAAAAATTTCTCAAACTCAAATTTTGTGAACCAGGGGGGTGTGTCTTTTCCAACAAACTAAAAATGGCTCGCGCACAAAATTTAAAAGTTGTAATCATATTTTGAGTTAATAGATGGAAACTTTGTCGGGTTTTTAATTACTGTACAAAATTTCAGATAATTTGGTTGAGTTTAAGCCCTTTAACTATTCATTTTATTTTAAAAAATCAGCCTTTCGCATGCTTAATTAATGCGTTTACCCAATTTGCATATTGCTAACATATGCAAATTAGGCAAAGGCATTAATTAAGCATGCAAATAGCTGATTTTTAGGAAAAATGTAACTTTGCGTGAATAGTTAAAGGGCTTAAACTAAACCAAATTGCCTGAAATTTTGTACAGTAATTAAAAACCCGACGAATTTTCCATCTATTAATTCAAAATATGATTACAACTTTTAAGCTTTGTGCGTGAGCCATTTTTAGTTTGTTGGAAAAGACACCCCCCCCTGGTTCACAAAATTTGAGTTCAAGAATTTTTTTTTCATTATTCTACATTATAAGTACCCAAAGAAGCTATATATATAAAAAACCGGATATATATATATATATGTACACTCCGTAATATGTTAAGATGAAAATGTTCTAGAGTGTGTATTATATAATTTCCATAATTTCCTGTCTTGAACCTGCGACCTTCGAATTATTATTTAATCTTCTTTAAAAACAACGGTAGCCCTTCAGCATAGATAAGAGCTGTTTTCCAAGGGGCCGTTGCACAATACAAATTTACAAAAAAAGTTAATAATTACAATTAGTATATAGTTACAAATTACAGATTACACATTACACATTACACATTGCACATTACATATTACACAGTACACCACATAATATTGTAAGACTTAAGTATTATGTTGAGGTCTGTCCCGAAGCAAGGTTTTAAATGCGTTTAATGACAAGCAATTGCTTTTCAGTTCTACTGGTAATTCATTCCAAATTTTTACACCTGAATAGCTGATGCTTTTTTTTTTAAAAGTTTGTTTTGGGCTTTTCTAATTTATAATCGATATTATTATTTCGTAAATTATAATTGTCATTATTTTTAACGACAAACATGCTAGATATATTTTCTAAGTATTCACCATTCGTAACTTTATGTATAAATATTGCCTTATTATTACCCCATCTTTCCATCAATGGCTGCCAGCTTAATTCTTCTAATATATTCTTAGATCTGACATCATATGATTTACCAGTTATGACTCTTGCAGCCCTGTTTTGCAGTTTTTGGAGTTTTTCGAGCGAATATGCATTCCTATATCCCAAACAAGGCTACAATAGTCAAAGTGGGGCAAGATAATTGAATTGTATACAGAAATAAGGGTTGATTGGGGTACAAAAGCTTTCATTCGTCGAATCATTCCTATGCCTTTTGATACTTTGGTGGCAACCGTATTTATATGTGTATTCCATTTAAGTTGGTCATCGACAATAACACCTAAAGTTTTTGTTTCTGAAACTTTTTTTATTTTATTATCTCCCAATTTAATTTCAGCTTCATCATCTATTGTAAATTTATATATTGTATTACTCCGAACACATGTACAATCATAGTCTTAGTCTTCAAGTTAATTATTAAGCCCGAAAGGTCCATGCCTAATAGCCTGCAAACAGGCTTGCTATTTACGAGTATCTATTTCAATGTAAATATTAATGTCAATATATCACACCACTCCCCCCTTTAAAAGTATTATGTGTATTGGATATCTTCTCTCTGGTTGCATTTCCTCTTCTCTGCTGTCAGATTCACTGTCCTCACTGGTACCCAGTGCTGGGTGTCCGACCCCATTCTTCTTTGGTGGATTTCTTGACTTTGGTTTCTTGACAGGTCAAATCTGATAAGGTTTAAGGTAATTGTAATGGACATTTTCTTCATTAGTTCCATTATTCCTTCTCACTACATAAGATGTTTTGGTTACCGACGTGGGCTTTACCACAACATAGGGTCCCGTCTACCGATCTGCAAATGTTTTGCTTGTAAATTTCTTTTTCAAACTTGTTGACCCACCCCCAACGATTTAAACAAAGTTTTACTGTTGTACCGTTCTCTGCGTTTTTCCGCTAACTTGGCATCGGACTCTTGTGCTTTTTGGAATACCTCACTAACAGTCTCGCGCAGTCGTTCCGTTTTCTCTCTAACCGTTGCTGGTGATATCTTCTCTGTTATAATTTCGAATTTTGATCGCGGGTGCTCCTTGAAAACTAGTTTGTACGGCGAAACTCCTGTACTTGTATGAACTGCTGTGTTGTATGCTAGTTGTACGTCAGGTAGGTGTTGAGACCACCGGTTGGGATGTTTATCTACCAATTTTGTGAGTGCTTCCCCCATCGTACGATTAATCCGTTCTACACCCGCGTTTCCCTGTGGCCTATAGGGTGGACTGAAAGTATGCTCAATTGCCTGGGTTATGCAAAACTGTTCAAATGTTTCGCTTATGAAACAAGGTCCAAGGTTTGTCCTCGAATTGGATGCATCTCTGCATATTTTGTACATGGATCTGTTATCACAACAATATTGTCAAATCCCTCTTTCGTTCTCGGTAATGGACCCTTGAGATCTACTTCTATCAACGCAAATGGTTTCTCTTCTTTTGGTCGTTGATGAATAGGTGCTTTTCTATGTCCCTGGGCAAGAGTAGCAGCACAGCGTTGGCACGTTTTTGCATAGTTCTCTACTTCTGCTTTCATCTTTGGCCACCAATAATGAGGTTCAATTCTTGCAAGCATTTTATCTGCTCTTTGGTGCCCTGTTTCGTCATGAGCTAATGATAATATGATGGGAACAAGCGAT